GTTTAGGGTTTAGGGGTTCAGGAGTGTAAGGTTTATTAGGGGTTTAAGGCTTAGGGGCTTGAGGGTTTAGGGGTTCTGGAGTTTAGGGTTTAGGGCTTGGGGGTTTGGGGGGCTGGGACTTGGTATATATATGAAGACATATATAATGGGTTATAACCATACAGTTCCAATTCTAGCAAGCATCTGTTGCATCCAGCTGCTGAGCAAGATGCAGTAGGCTCAATGGGTGGTATTTCCGTGGAAAGCGACGTGCAAGGGATATGACTTCAGCCACACTCTGACGTCGAGGCTTGGGGTCCACACCATGACTTGTTGTTGAAACCGAAGAGAATGCTTTCGGGGGTGGCACCAGGAAGGCTTTCGTCATCGGGCCGGGCACGGTGGCTAGGGATCTATATCAGGCATATATACACTGCAACCCAAAGCAGCTGCACACATCAGGTGAATGACTGATCATGACAGAGCATCCAATGTTGAGTCCATTGCCTGCACTATCTATATGGGAGTTTCCGAAAACAGGGGTACCTTATTTTGGGGTCCTTATAATAGGGATCCTACTATTTAGGGTACTATATTAGGGTCCCCTATTTTCAGAAACCCCCATATTCTACACAGCATAGCAGTCGAAGCCTGCCACTTCTGGAAAACAAAGTCCCCGAACTCCTTGGGATACGCTGCTGTTGCCTGTAGCATCGGTCCACCAGACCTCACATGTTGGGAGCCCACATTTTGCTTCATTAGATACTAGCTGTGTACATGAACAGTGTTTGGGGCAGCTGAGCTTCAGGCACTTTAGTGATTACACCACCATCTTGTGATACCTTTTTTGTCCTGGAAACCACTTTGCTCTCTGTGCTGGACCTCAAGGTCCCTTTGGCATGGCTGCAGAGGCGCTTCTGCAGTGCCCGGATCCACATCCTAAGCTATAAGGCTGTTCCTATAAATTATAAGGGGTTTGGTATTTAAGGTGCAGGGTTTAGGGTTTAGGGGTTCAGGAGTGTAACGTTTATTAGGGGTTTAGGCTTAGGGGCTTGAGGGTTTAGGGGTTCTGGAGTTTAGGGTTTAGGGGGTGGGGGTTGAGGGGGCTTGGACTTGGAAAGGTGGGTTTAGGGTTAGGCTTTGTGTTTATTTCAGGCATTGATATAAGGGGATGGGAGGGTTTGGGGGATGGGTGTTGGAGCTGTATAGGACATGTTGACGGCATCTACAAATTCTGACTAGATTGCAAGGACTTGGGGCATAGTTGTCAGGACACTTCTGTAAGGTTTTATGCAAAGCCTGGTACCTGATCAGCTGGGAACCGGTCGTGAGGCCTCAAGTTGGGCTTTATTGCAAGTCCGAAAGCACACCCTTAACATATAGTCTATATAAGTAGGATTTGATTTGGGAAATTACATTGTACACTTTGGATCTTGCTGGAGTCGAGTGGTCATACCAGGATAAGATCGGGGTCTGGGGTTTGATGAGTGGGGTACTTGCCCTTATAACCACAAATGCAATCAGGCCTCGGGGTCCCGAGCAACCAGCTTCGCTTCTGGCACCAATGACCATAGTTCGCCATGTAACTCAGTAGCAAACTTGCATCGGTCAGGTTAAGTGTGTGATCGAACATAAATTTTTCTAGTACTAGTACAGTCTAGTCTAGCAGACCCCACATCCATTCCGAAATCAAGTGTCAACGGCCCTGACTCTAATTGCTCTGAATCTCATGTGCAACAGGACTCCCACTCCAACCAAAAATGCAAACAGGCTGCAAGTCCTTGTAAATGATCGAAGGACTGGTGTAGGGGCACTTGATAAAGTGGGTCATGTACGGAAATGACAGGACCATGCTGCTGTACGGCTGCTCCATCTGTTGCAGGGCCAGGCCATCAGGTTATATGGTTCAGAGTCGAGATTTTAATGGCTTTTTAGAACATGCTCAGGGGTTGTAGCAAAGCTGGGGCATATAGAGTTTCAGGTGTTTATATAGTGTCTAGGGATATAGGGCTTTAGGTTTTGAGGTCCACAGTGTGGGCCGTTGTGGTTTCATGTTCAGGGGTTCATAGAGTAGGGATTACGGTTTATTTTGTTGAGGTTTAGGGCTTCACATTTCACATCCTGAGGGGTGTATGGTCTAGGGATACAGGTTTGGGGCTTCAGCTTTATTCTCAGATGTTCAGGAATTGGTAGTTATGGGTTCAGGTGTGTTGGGGTTTATTGGTGGCCTTCTTAGGTTCCATGAAATGTTCAGGGGTCATGGCTCAGCTGCACATGCAGGTGTCATGGTCTAGGGGTTAAACGTTAGCTTATGAGGCAATTTGGTTTGGAGTTTGGACATGTTGGGCTCTTCAGAGGTTGAGGAGTAATAGTTGAGGGTTCCGGCCTTGAACATATTTGTGGTTTCGAAATTTAAATGTTTAGTGCTTGTTATGCAATGCATGATGGAGTTTATAGTGTAGGGCTTATTAATTTAAAAAATGTAATTAGAGCTTGGGATGTGGTTAAGTGTTTAGGTTTTCTGGTTAAGGGGTTG